AAAAAGATCTTGGAGGCTGGAACGGTCTTGCTCAGGTTGATGAGTGAAGCTTGCAGCTTTTTCTGTGCATCTGGTAGCACACGAGATGATGAAACTGGAGAGGCGTACGCGCGCGCTGGAAGAAATGAGAGAGCAACTCCCCGAGATGTTAAGCAGGTGTTCATACCACATATTTGAAAAGTATCAAGACAGACACCGAAGTTTGGTCTATCGACGCGTCTGCAGATATCCCAGGTGTTTTCCCACGTATTTCTTCATGCGGGTGTCAGTAATGTTGGTCACAAATTGCGACCGAATGCGTACACATGCACGCCCCAAGCCCACATCTCATACGCGCTGGATCATTGTGTATCAGTTCACCAAGATACGTATATACGATTCATAGCTCACATACGGATCGGTGGGTCCTGCTTTGCCGCCAAATCGGCGAGCTCGCACAGGTCTCTTGCGATAACATCGAAGTCGCAGCTAGAGTCGGGGTCGTCTGAGGAACCAACCTGAAGCATCGTGCAGCCAAGTTCCTAAGTTGACGTAAGGATGTATGCGCATATATACGCAATGTGGCGGAAGAACAGATTCGAGCTTACCCTCAGTACTCTAAACCAGGCTTGCGCTCGACCCAAACCTTGCTTTTTCTTCTGTGCATCCCCATACCCTTCGTATGTCGAGAATCTAGGTCCAATGCTCATTTCTACAGATTCATACATATCAGGCTTGTGAGTACTTGCGGATGCACGACAAGAACTTCTATGCCCAGCTCGTGGCACAAACCCCTCACTTTCTTTGCAGCCTCGCACAGCTTGTCGAGGTCGCCCTTGCCCCCTTCATCCAGCTTATTATAATCTCCGTTGAATTCTTGATGAGCATATGTCTCAAGATCCGGAAGACCAACTTCGACTTGCGTAAAACCAGCGTCGTAGATGGCGCGTAGCTTGATGGGGAGGGTATGTAGAAGGGTTTTCAGCGCCAACACCAAGAACTTACATTTACCTTCTTTCCGCATGTACACAGATGGTGGACGGTGGCTTGACCAGGAAGACAGGACGTAGGTGACGCCGCAACTGACGGAGTACCCCGCGACCTGAGGGCGGCAGGAACGCGCATGTAAATAGGGGCCCGCTGTGCGCGAGCGTGCCGAGTCATCGCTTGTCGGAGCGGCGCGCCATTCCCGAAGCCTGACGCCACTACTTCGTCTTCCATCGCATTCGCAGGTTCTTCCCCAATAGAGACCCTTTCGTTAACGTTTACCTTCACTTTCCGTACACATAGACCTCCGGCCGAGAGCACGGCAGCGGAGCAGCGCTCGCATGTATATTAAAGGCGACCTCCCGCCGTCGAATGGAGCAAGCTCCCCTTTCCCCCACCTTCACCTCTAAAGTCTGCCCCTCCGAGCTTCGGGCACATCCTAAGAGCATCGAGAATACACTCGCGAGAGCGCGAGACGAGGTTCGCCCGCGACGAGCGTGGGCACGAGCATTTAAGTAAGAGTTTTATTAGATCGTTCATCGAGCTTAGTTACGCGTTTAGATATCGAGTTTAGTCATCGGCCGTTCCCTCCCCACACGTAAAGCCCCGCATATATCGAGCGCCGACCCGTACGTAGAATCCACCTCCACAACGGGTGCACGCCCGCCGAGTCGGTCGAGTAGGCGACAGCTGTCGCGAATTCCGCCATGATCATTCAGTGT